GCAATATGCTCCCTCCTGTGTCCTGTGCCAACGAATGGGAGGCGAAGGAGCCCGGAGCCATTTTGGTCTCCTGCAGACCGGGACCTTCCAAAGGAGATTAGTGTTTGGGTTGCTGTTTCTGGGGGCTGAGGTGCTACGTTTCCTCCTCTCAGAGATCTCACAACCTCTGAGGATGCCTGCCATAGATGCAGGCAAAACATCAGGAGAGAATGCTTCTGGAACATGGCCATACAGCCCGGAAAACTTAGAACAACCCATTTGGAATGTGGTTGTTGAAAATGTGGGATTCTACCCCAGCATTGAAGAATCTTAAGACCCCAGAATTAAGGTTCAGCAATGAAGTGTAGCAATGACCGAACCCACCAAGCGAAGTCCAACTCTATCACTCATTTCTGCCAGATGCTAAGGAGGATGTCCAAGTCCTGAACCGGTACCTGGCCGCTGTGATGGTCTGGATGAGGGCGAGCAAATTGAAGTCGAATCCAGACAAGACAGAGGTCCTCCTGGTCAGTTGCAAGGCCAAACAGGGTATAGGGTTACAGCCTGTGCTGGACAGGGTTACACTCCCCTTGAAGGCCCAGGTTTGCAGCTTGGGGGTCCTCCTGGGGTCATCACTGAGCCTGGAATCCCAGGTTGCAGCGGTGGCCAGGGGAGCATTCGCACAATTAAAACTTGTGCGCCAGCTGCGCCCATACCTTGGGAAGTCAGACTTGGCCACGGTGGTCCACGCTCTCGTTACATCTAGGATAGACTACTGCAACGGACTCTACATGGGGTTGCCTTTGAAGACTGCTCAGAAGCTTCAAATAGTCCAACGAGAGGCAGCCAGGTTAATAACTGGGGCGGCACACAGGGAGCACACAACTCCCATGTTACGCCAGCTCCACTGGCTGCCAGTTTGCTACCGGGCACAATTCAAAGTGCTGTCTTTGGCCTAGAAAGCCCTAAATGGCCCCGGCCCAAATTACCCGTCCGAACGCATCTCCCCCTATGAACCATCGTGGAGATTAAGATCCCTGCTTTCCGTCCCGCCATTGTCACAGGCGCGATTGGTGGAGATGAGAGACAGGGCCTTCTCAGTGATTGCTCCCTGGCTATGGAACTCCCTTCCTGGGGGGATCAGGTCGGCCCCCTTCCTCCTGTCCTTTAGAAGGATGGTCAAAACTTGGCTGTGGGACCAAGCTTTCGGGACAGGGCAATAAAGCAGCAATGGGGAAAATGACTAGGCCAATTAGATTTGACATGGATGACCAGGACGGTTTTCAATGGTGTATTTTAATATTTTGATAAATGTTTTTTAATGTTTGTGTATTGTATGTGAATTTGTGTCCCGGCATTGAATGTTTGCGGTGTATGTGCTGTGCTCCGCCCTGAGTCCCCTGAGTTGGGGGTGAATAAATAAATAAATAAATATTTCACTGCAATGTTGAATCATTAGGGCCATTTTATTTTTCTGGCTCTTTGAAACCTCCTTCAGTTTGCCAGGTATTGTAATTGGCCAGGGAGGTCCTTCCTAAAAAGGCCTGCGATGGAGTGCAGCAGACGGCTATTAGGGCCCCAGCCTCTGAGCACGATGCCAGGAAAGGGAAATTTATTTATTTATTTATTTGATACACTTATATACCGCCAATATCTCAGCCTGTGCGGCGACTCATTGCGGTTTACAACTTATTAAAATACAATAGTCACTTAAAAATATAAAATAGATATCAAAATACAAGACATAAAACATACATAATATAAACATATTTCGTATCGGGCCACCAATACAAATCAAAGCTTCTCATAGTTAAAATCGTAATTCAGTTCATTATCCTTGGTTGCAAGTCCATGATCAAAATAACCATACATCGGAAATTAGTTAAAAACTTGCTCGAACATCCAAGTTTTTAGTTTTTTCCGAAATGCCATTAGCGAGGTGACTGATCTTAGTTCAATAGGGAGGGCATTCCAAAGCCGGGGGGCCACCACAGAAAAGGCCCTATCTCTCGTTCCCACGAGCCGCACGCTCCTTGCTAAAAAGGCAGCCTTCAGTGGGGTTTGCATTTTGTGAATTTGGCTCCTTTGGCAGCCAGCCGGCCAGGCAGGGCAGTTTGGGAGGTTCATCTATAATGCATAGGCCTCTCGTTCTCTGGTTGCTGCTCAGAGGAGAAGAGAGGATAATGGCAGCTATTTGCGCTGAGAGGGGAGCTGCTGGAGGTCAAGGGAAAGAGTTTTATTTCTGTCTATGGATGGGGGGGGGGAGGATTTGAGAGCTTTCAACCCCGATAACAATAGAAGTCTCCCTTTCGGTCCCCAGTTTTCTAGCTCAAAACGTAAATATTGAGCGTTTGGATATGTAGAATCATAGAATCCTAGAGTTGGAAGAGACCTCATGGGCCATCCAGTCCAACCCCTTTCTGCCAAGAAGCAGGAAAATTGCATTCAAAGCACCCCTGGCAGATGGTCATCTTGCCTCTGTTTAAAAGCCTCCAAAGAACAGTTCGGGCCCTGCCTATCTCTGCGATCGCATCTCCTTCTATGAACCAGCACGAGCTCAAAGATCTTCCAGGGAGGCCCTCCTTTCGGTCCCACTATCGTCTCAAGCGGGGTTGGTGGGGACGAGAGAGGGGGCCTTCTCAGTGGTGGCCCCCTGTCTCTGGAACTCCCTTCCAAGGGAAATAAGACAGGCCCCATCCCTTCCCTCCTTTCGTAAGAGCTTGAAGACCTGGTGGTTTCAACAAGCCTTTGAAAGTGGTCAGTTCTAACTCAGCCCCACACATTGTCGAATGCGGCCTTATTCTTCCTAACAATTACCCAGATCATTTCCTCTAATCGGCCCCGGAATGAACAGCCACAGACCCGTACCTCATATTATTGTTGCCTCTCATAGCATTGCACTTAATTCCTGGGGCCCCTAGAATTTTTGGGCTTGGACAAATCTTGGCAAATTTTAAAATTTTTAAATTGCCTTGAACAGGCAGGATTACTTTTAATATATGTGTGTTATGGCGACAATTTTATGCCATAACACATCATCTTATGGTTATGTTGTTTTTAGTCTGTATGTTTTGTGATGTTACTTGGGAACTGCTCTGAGTCCCCTCGAGGAGATGGAGCGGTATATAAATAAAGTTTTATTATTATTATTACAAAGGAAAAACCTACAACAACCCACTGATAGCTTTTGTTAGCTAAGCTGACAAAACAAAAGTCAGTTATATTTTGAATTAAATATGCAATAAACTAGGCATTTAATGTAAGGTTTTATTTTGAAGTTGAATGCAGTACATTTTCATTAACTCAAACTCAACCCAAATTTGCCTCCGATTTTGGTTCCATAGCGCTGACTGGCAGCAATATCTCCAGAAAAGGCACTAGAGTGGATGTAAAGAAATAAAAAAACTAGTGATCTACAAGATATAGAGTACTGTATGCACAGTAGGGATTTTTCTCCCACCCCATTTTCAAGTATAGTTCTTCCAGACCACTAAGGGATCACTCCTTCAGGGACAGGGCAATCAATATGACAGGAGATTATTTGAATGAAAACCTCCCTGTGAGTATCTGTATCCTTTCAGCCTTGGCCATGAAGCCTAGGATGTTTTACCATCCTGTGGGAGGCTTCTCTCATGTCTCTGCATGAGAAGCTGGAGCTGACAGGGAGCTCACCCTGCTCCCCGGATTCGAACCACCGACCTTTTGGTCAGTAGTCTTAATGGTACAAGGGTTTAACCCAGGGGCCTCAAACTAGGCCAGGCCGGATACGGCCCTCCAAAGTCATTTACCCAGCCCTCACTTAGGGTCAACCTAAGTCTGAAACGACTTGAAAGCACACAACAATAATCCTATCTCATCAGCCAAAAGCAGGCCCACACTTCCCATTGAAATACTAATAAGTTTATATTTGTTAAAATTGTTCTTTATTTTAATTACTGTATTGCTTTTAAGTGTTTTTTGCACTACAAATAAGTATGTGCAGTGTTCATAGGAATTCATTAATATTTTTTTCAAATTATAATCCGGCCCTCCAACGGTTTGAGGGACGGTGACCTGGCCCTCTGTTTAAAAAGTTTGAGGACCCCTGGTTTAACCCATTGTGCCATGGGGGCTCCTATGTACAAATTAAAATGTATTAAATCATTTAGTTACAGGGCTTGTAAAATCACTTTTTATAGGAAAAGAATGCATATCCTAAGCACATATTTTTCAATTCCTGACAAATTTGTTCAGATGGATTTGGTACCTTTTGGAAGCAAGCTCCACATTATTGTTGTTGTTGTTGTTAATAAGTATATTTTTCATATCGGGAGCAACTTAAGAAACTGCAAACTGCTTCTGGTGTGAGAGAATTGACCATCTGCAAGAACGTTGCCCATGGGACGCCTGGATGTTTGATGCTTTACCATCCTTGTGGGAGGCTTCTTTCATATCCCTGCATGGGGAGCTGGAGCTGATAGAGGGAGCTTAACCCCCACTCCCCAGATTCGAACTGCTGACCTATTGGTCAGCAGTTCTGCCGGCACAAGGGTTTAACCTATTGCGCCACCGGGGGCTTTATTTATATTCTGCTCTACCTCCCCGAGGGGACTCAGAGCTGATTACAGAATACATTTATGGCAAACATTCACTGCCATTATACAGTTAACAGCAAAGACAGATTGTACACAGACAGAGGCAAAAGCTTCTGGGGAGCCTAGGATCAGAGTGACAGAAAAAGTAAACATCTGAGACCGCCCATCAAATTGTTCAATTCTTCTAGAAGCAAGCATGAAAATGTGTTGAGAGTATGTGATAAATGAATATGAATGTTCAATTCACCACAGCTATATGCTGAGAAAGTGACTGAGAACACCTTTCCCACACATAAAACTGATACATGTGTAGTCATCACGTTTTTTGATGTTTGTCGTGTTATTTCCCTCTGTTCTCCCTGTCAGAATATCATCATGTCTGTTTTGGTTCAGAAGCCCGTCTATAAGATCTCCCCTAGACATTAATCTATTATGAAGAATTTGTTTTCAAACACGATGAAATCTCAAAGTAATACTGACCATTTCCTGGGTGAATTTACCTGCCAGAGATGATGGTGGCTTGTATAACACTTCGGCAAGAAGACGGAAGCTAATGCACATCATATCTTTATTGGGGGCCACATTCCTCACCAGCTCCACCGAGCACAAGCCCTCTAAGGAAGTTCTCAAGCAAGCTTCGGCTCGTTGCTGAACGTCCTGTGCAGGATTTTCATGCTTGGAAAAGCAATGGCAATGCACTGTGGGAAGCTCTGTGCCGCTGGGTTCTCCATCCAAAAGGTGCTGGAAAACATCCAGGAATTCAATGGCCATGGCTGGCAAATTCATGATGATATGTAGGGAACTTTTACGCTCTTTCAGAGAGAGTTGCTTGACCAGTTCTTCCTTCATCGGCCCCTTCATGAACTCTCTGCCATCCATGTTGAAGACTTGCACTTTTGTGTCCACTTTGTTCAGTTTACAGTTGTGCTGCAGCCACTTGTAGGACTCGGGATTGAGGTCATTTGCAAACACAATACAGTTCTTCTTTGCTGCAGGGATAGCAAAGGGCCCCACCCCAGCAAAGATGTCAAAGAGAACATCGCCAGGCTTCAAGAGGTTGACAATGCGTGCGTGTTCGGTGGAGAGGCGGGGATTCCAGTAGACCTTGGAAAAGTCAAATTCGTAGGAGATGTAGTTTTCTTTGACCTACAAGAGTCCCAAACACAGCCTATGTCAGATATGCACTCAGGAAGAGCTGCACTGATGCAGTCAAAAGTTTTATTATGACCAAGACTACATCTTTACTACAGAGAAGGAAAGCTCCAAGGACTGTGATGCACCAGTGTAGCCAACTGGGATATTTGTGGATATGAATCTTAGTGTTGGAAGAGACCACAAGGGCCATCTAGTCCAACCCATTTTGCCATGCATGAACACACCAATCAAAGTACTCCCAACAGTTGGCCATCCAGCCTCTGTTTGACTTCTGCAGCTACCCAGCCCTGTCCTAATTTTTTTGCAAACTTATGTTACTAGAAGGGGCAGGCCTTTGAGCTGTGCAACTGCAAGGAAATTTCAGAGCACACTGGCATTTAAAACCACTTTCTGTGGTGTCCTCACCAGCCTAATGCAAAAGAATCACTGGGTTGCTGTGAGTTTTTCCAGACTATCTGACCATGTTCCAGAAGCATTATCTCCTGATGTTTCGCCCACATCTATGGCAGGCATTCTCAGAGGTTGTGAAGTCCTTAAGAGGGCCAAATTTAGGCCAAGAGCTCCCGACATTTGCTTAGAAGGTGTAGAAGCCATCTGTCATATATGCAGAATTCTTTTGTTCTTGTTTATATTAATAATAATAATAAACTTTATTTGTACCCCGCTACCATCTCCCCAAGGGACTCGGTGCGGCTTACATGAGGCCAAGCCCAGAATACATCAGTAAACAAAACATCAATAAAACAATCAATCAATAAAATACAAATCATATTTGTAAAGGTTTTCCCCTGATATTAAGTCCAATCGTGTCTGGCTGGGGGTTGATGCTCATCTACATTTCTAAGGAGAAAAGCTGGCATTGTCCAGAGACACCTCCTAGGTCATGTGGCCAGCATGACTGCATGGAGCACTGTTACCTTCCCACAGGAGCAGTACCTATTGATCTACTCACATCTGCATTTTTTCGAATGCTAGGTTGGCAGAAGCTGGAGCTAACAGCGGGAGCTCATGCTGCTCTCCGAATTTAAACCTATGACCTTTCGGTCAGCAAGTTCAGCAGCTCAGTGCTTTAACCCACTGCGCCACCGGGAGCTCCTGTTCTTGTTTATTTAACATACAAGAACTAAAGATGGAATGGGCACCCGGAAACGCAACAAGGAGGTCCTGAGCTGGAAACCAGGTTTTATAGTCTGGGGCTCCACACTAAAAGATATAGAACAATGCTCATTTTCAGCATGGGATTTAAATATAATTCATTTTCTAGGTCAAACAGAAAAAGATATCCATCAAATTAATTTTCATGCATCCCTGACTAGGAAATGACCAAGTGAGTGTGTTTTGGATCCAAAATATTGTAAAATGCGATATCATGCAGAAATGGTATGTCTTTTAAAACTTCGGTATCAGCTCCCAAATACAAGGCATATAATATAAATCCATCCTAAATATTGCTGGAAGGGATTCCATGTGTTTACTTATTTTCCTCAAACCAAATGCATACATGTTGAATGGGAAAGCTACTACATTTCTGAAGGAACAGAATACCATACCAGGTTTGTACACTAGCTCTAAAATGAGTTTCTCCAATAGTTTGTTAATGCCTTTGGTTATGCGGTTCAAAACAATTTAATGTGGGCCATAAATTCAACCAGTAAGCTATACTCTTTCTACTTGAGGCTTATGAGCAGAGCTGTGATTTCATTTAGGCTCAACTGGGACATCTGAGACTATGTAGACTGCCAAGTCTGTCAAACCCAGAGGAAGGGAAGCATTAGTATGTTGGATGGCATCTTTCCATAATATCTACACTTTGCTTTGTCTACTCTCTCTCTCTCTCTCAATGTAAGAATTTAACCCTCTTTTTGCTACCTGGAAATAACTCTTAAAAGCTGCAGTACCTTTGTTGTCATGTTGCTCTCATCTCCAGCCAGCACCTCCATTTGGAAGTTTCGATAAGCACTCTCAATGGTATTGATTTTATTTACAGCACAGGTGATACCATTATTCTTGTCAATAATAACTTGGCCTGAAAGTAAAGGAGACAGGTTATTAGTTTTCTATATGAAAAAGCAGAAATGTGATTTAAGCATATCCAAAGAAAAACCAGTTCCATTTTTCATGAAATCAGTGCTTTTGTTTATTAATCAAAAGTAACATTTTCGACAGTTCTCCCAAAGCATGACACTGCCTTTGTCGATAGCTGTGTGCGTACAACTGTTCTCTAAATCTAAGGAATTAAGACTGAAAAAGACTGATATCCCTTCATGGTTATACAGCCTATACTTTCTTCTAGTCCTTGAGACAAAAGAAAAAGATGGGAGGAGAAACAGCTCTTTGAAATTTTATTTTAAAATGTTACTTTCTCAACTACAATTCCCAAAATTCCAAAGTCAGCGTCGCCAAACACTGGGTAACAATGGAAGTGAGGAAAGAAAAAGGTAGATGACCTCAATAATTTTTGTAAAAGCAAGAAAGTCTTGTGGTAACTTAACCAGTAACAAATTAATTGCAACATGTGCTTTTTAAATCACCACACAACACTCATTTTAGGACGGAGTAACTCATTGAATTTAGATTGGTCAGTTGTAGATTTTTCTCCTAATAAGGAGTTATTTAGGATTGGGTAAGAGACCTACACTATTGCAGTACCCAATCACAGTATTGTAAGGTAAAGGTAAAGGTTTCCCCTTGACATTGAGTCTAGTCATGTCCGACTCTGGGGGGTGGTGCTCATCTCCATTTCTAAGTCGAACAACCAACGTTGTCCGTAGACACCTCCATGGTTATGTGTCCAGCATGAATGCATGGAGTGCCGTTACCTTCCCACCAAAGTGGTACCTACTGACCTACTCACATTCACATGTTTTCAAACTGCTAGGTTGGCAGAAGCTGGGGCTAACAGTGGGAGCTCACCCACTCTCCAGATTCAAATTGCCAACCTTTTGGTCAGCATGTTCAGCAGCACAGCGGTTTAACCCACTGCGCTACCAGGGGCTCCACAGTATTGTAATGGGTTCAGGAAGCCAGAAAGAAAAACTGGCTAAATGGCTTTCACCCTCTGCGTTAAATCGCAAATGACATAATTTGACAAATATTAAACGTAATTATTTCAACATTCCTCAAATCTTCAAGTCAACTTTGGGGGGAGAAGGGCGGGGTAGAAATGCATGAAATAAAAATAAAGAAATAAATAAACTTTAATTTATGGCAATCTTCTTGTGGAGTTTTCCTGGCATATTGAGAGGAGGCTCGCCAATACCTTCTTCCTAGACTGGACGTATTTATTGTACTTCTCTGAATGCTTTCCAAATGGAAGAGGTCACAGCTCAGTGGAAGGACCCCTGCTTTCAGGATAGAAAGGCCTCAGTCTTTCCCAGATCTAGCTATATGGATCAGAGAACACAGGCATGGACAATGTATACCACATAAAGGACCAAATAAGACTATAGCCCTTAACCCATCCAGATCCCCTACACTGGTCTTTTTGGACCAAATAAGTGGTTTGAGCATTTGGCTACATCTTTGCTACAAGATCAGGGTTCAGTTTTCTCCTTGGTCATGAAAACCCATTGGGTAACTTTGGGCACACACTTTCAGTCCCAGAAAACTTTTATGCTAGAGTTGCCAAAAGTCAGAAACAACTTGAAGGCAGACAACAAAGGATGAATTGTCTCTCCTGGAAATCTCCAAAAACTTATCCTTCAAATATTAAAAATCCTATTTTTTTTTTCAAAATGAACAATGAACTTTTGGATAATATCTATCTATCTATCTATCTATCTATCTATCTATCTATCTATCTATCTATCTATCTACTGTATTTTACCCCACTCTATCTCAACCCCAAAGGGGACTCAGAGCAGCTTCCAGACTGGCAATAATTCAATGCCATGTTAACATAAGACAAGCAAAATACAATATACACTGTGTGTTAAATCATGAAAATCATAAAACACTAACATATAAATACATAAATAAGCTGTTAAAAGATTACACAGAGACCAAAAATCATAATCCAGAAGCCGTTCCAATCACACTGCCATTCACTTCGTAGCTATATATAATCCTGCACTACTCTCCAAATGCTTGGTTCCATAGCCAGATTTTAACTTGTTTTCTAAAGGATAGGAGGGAAGGATCTGATCTAATTTCGCTGGGGAGGGAGTTCCAGAGCTGAGGAGCCACCACTGAGAAGGCCCTGTCCCTCGCCCCTATCTGCCGCACCTGTGAAGAAGGTGGGACCAAGAACAGCCCCCCCCCCCCCCCGAAGATCTTAACCTTGATGGTTCATAGGGGAGATACGTTCGGACAGGTAAGTTGGGCCAGAACTGTTTAGGGCTTTATAGGCTAAAGCCAGCACTTTGAATTGTGCTCGGTAGCAGATTGGCAGCCAGTGGAGCTGATGCAAGGGGGGGGGGGGGGGGGGGGTTGTATGTTCCCTATACACCGCTCTGATGAGCTATCTATCTATCTATCTATCTATCTATCTATCTATCTATCTATCTATCTATCTATCTATCTAATTTAGACAGTGTGTTTGGAAGTCCAAACAGCCTCTGGAGAATCACAGACCAGAAAATTGACCAGCTTTAGACTCCAGAAACAGAATCAGCTTGAACTGGTACAAGACCTCCCTTATAGGAACAATGCCCAGTTTGGTACAACATTATCATCCCAAATCAGATCAAATCTCCAGAATCTATATACAGAATGTGTGGCTCAGCTATTCACAGGCCACTTTTTTCCTATTACTCTTTTCTGTTCCTTTACAAAGGGTACACAATGCAATTCACAGTAAGCCACATTATTCATGTCAAGAATCTAAAAGCCTGAATCTTTTTTGTGTGTCAAATGCTTGAAGCAACTTTAAAGAACAACTGCTGAATCACTAAAACGAGGATTACTACAAACCTTTATCCACACATACCAATTAAATGCTTGTAAGGCAGCTGATGGTCTCTAAGATTCAAGTGAGCGATGTGGCCGACTCTGCTAAATGCTGTGGTCACTTCCTGGCCTTCAGGAAGCACTGCTTGAAGAATTTCTTCTGCCTTGAAATGGTCGTATGTCAGCTCCACGTTGTAACTGATTATCTCGGGGTTAATGTTAAAGCTCTTTAAGATCTCTTTCTCAGGTTCACCAAGGGAACCATCAGCAGACATTTTGTGAGGATCTAACAAAATGAACCTTCTGCTTTCATCTTCTGGGTCTTCAATAACTCTCTTGAGACCTGGTCGCTTGATCATCACCTCCTTAAGGGACTTCACCAGTTTGTTTGTGATGTCTTTGTTCACCTTAATTGCTGGTACCACAACATTCTTTTTGAAAGCATCTCTGTTCAGTCTGGTCATCCCACGAACCCTGGGATGAGGGACGTTGAGGTCAAGTTCAACCTTCTTGTCAAACATCTCCGGCATTGTGAAAATACTATTGCTCTGAGCTACTACTGAAAGATGTCCAGGAAGTCGATGAAGAGGCTGGTCCCAAAGCTTCCAAATTGCTGAAAATGATATATGGGATGCAGTTGTTCCAAAATCTTTCGTTTTCAGGAGTCCAGCAAATAAGCCATTTAATTGCCTGCAAATCCTAGAAAGGAAATTATTCGTTTTATAGACATTATGTAAGCGTTTAGGCAGAAATGTTACAAACAGGCATGTCTGCACTGGTCTCATAAATTCACCTGCATGAGATTATTTGAATTTTAACTTTAACCAGAGCTGTGACAGGAGAGCTGGGCTGGATCCACACTGCCAAATTTTAACTTTAACCAGAGCTGTGGCAGCTTTCTGTGTCCACAGGATTCAAAAATTCACTGCTTGAAATTCTTCCCCATTAACAACAATTTTGTTTACAAAAAACAAACCTTGATTTTGCCACTTTATATAACAAATACAACTTTACTATGCCATTATATATATAATGGAACTAGAATATTCACAAATTTTGGTATCAAAAGAGGTGCTGGAAACAAATCTCAGTGGATACTAAGTGTCCTCTGTACTATTAAGAGTCACAATTTTGCAATGGCTCTTTTTGAACATTTGTGTTGAAAACAATAATACTAATAATAATAATAGTAATAACTTTACATACAATATCATCATCATCATTTGGTATCTTGTTGCCTGTAGCTCTTTTCATGGCCTATAGTGATTAACCTTGAGCTCTCCAATAATAATAATAATAGTAATAATAATAATAAGAAGAAATAGTAGTAGTAGTAGTAGTAGTAGTAGTAATCACAATTGTGGAAAAGAAAAAAGTCTGGAATGGATGTTGCCATTCCAGGTGACAGTCGCATTGAGGAAAAACAACAGGAAAAACTCAGCCGCTATCAAGACCTCAAAATCGAACTGCAAAGGCTCTGGCATACACCAGCACAGGTGGTCCCAGTGGTCATCGGCACACTGGGTGCCGTGCCAAAAGATCTCAGCCGGCCTTTGGAAACAATAAACATCGACAAAATCACGATCTGTCAACTGCAAAAGGCCACCTTACTTGGATCTGCGCATCATTCGAAAATACATCACACAGTCCTAGCTTGGGAAGTGTTCGACTTGTGATTTTGTGATACAAAATCCAGCGTATAGATCTTGTTCGCTGTGACATACAAATACTTTGTTAATTGTAACAAAATTTGTAACATTTTATGTTCCTGGTTTGAAAGTGTTATTCCTGTTTAATTGTGTGGTCCTTACTTTGAAAGTAGTTGTTCTACTCCAAAAACTTTATTTCTGTGGCTGCCACAAATTAGGTTGAATTGGTTGAGACTCTATGAGATATCTATTGAAAAACTAGCGCAAAATGTGCTGCAGGATGTCTTGTAAAAACAAAGTTTTTGTAGTATTATAATTTATTTTAGTCTCTAGGCACTTTGTAATTTTCCTTAACAAAAATATGCCATTTTTAATGTTTCAATGCTCAGACTGCAATAAAGTTTTTGCAGTTTAATCAACCTTTTCCATGTTTTTATGATATAACCAATTGGGAAATGACATAACCCAGGAACAAAAATTGGGCTACATAGTGGAATCATTCCCTCCCACTAGATCAGCGGTTCCCATTTTTTATTTTTTTTTGGACCAGGGACCACTCTCCAACATTAGTACCAAAAGAGTTATGAATCAGTTTTTGGTCAACTTTAGATTTGGTTTGGTTATTTGGGGTGCTGATTCAGAAAATTGCATTGGATAGACCACATCAGCTCTAGTTTCTGATACAGAAGATATGCCATCCAGTAGTTGCCATCTGGCTGCCCACAGAAAACCATATTTAATAATCTAGAGCTGATGTGGTAGCAGTAATCTTTTGTGGGTAGTCAGCCTCTCCCCTTCCGACATCCCTGTTGCCTCGGCACAATAAGAGGGTTTTGTGAGATCAGTCGCTCTTGTTGCCATGTGGTTTTGAGGCAACAGTGTAGTAATGGTGAGGCCACAGACCATATTTTCGTTCTTGTGGACCACTGGTTGTCCACGGACCACAGGTTAGGAACCACTCCACTAGATTGATCCACTACTGCTTCAATGTAATTCAAGCTGGGCAATGGCAACAGCGGAGGCCAGGGACATTTCAAACAAAGACAAGATGTTTGGGAGACACCACGCTCTCGTTACCTCTAGGATAGACTACTGCAACACACTCTACGTGGGGTTGCCTTTGAAGACTGCTCGGAAGCTTCAAATAGTCCAACGAGAGGCAGCCAGGTTAATAACTGGGCGGCATACAGGGAGCATACAACTCCCATGTTACGCCAGCTCCACTGGCTGCCAGTTTGCTACCGGGCACAATTCAAAGTGCTGGCTTTGGCCTATAAAGCCCTAAACGGCCCCGGGCCAAATTACCTGTCTGATTGCATCTCCCCCTATGAACCATCATGGAGATTAAGATCCTCAGGGGAGGCCCTGCTTTCCATCCCGCCATTGTCACAGGCACGATTGGGGGAGACGAGGGACAGGGCCTTCTCGGTGATTGCTCCCAGGCTATGGAACTCCCTTCCTGGTGAGATCAGGTCGGCCCCCTTTCTCTGTCCTTTAGAAGGATGGTAAAAACTTGGCTGTGGGACCAAGCTTTCGGGACAGGACAATAAAGCGACAACAGGAAAGATGACCAGGCCAATTAGATTTGACGCGGATGACTAGGAAGGTTTTAAATGGTGTATTTTAATATTTTGATAAATGTTTTTAAATGTTTATGTATTGTATGTGAATCTGTGTTTGCCGTGTACATGCTGTGCTCTGCCCTGAGTCCCCTTCGGGTGAGAAGGGCGGAATAGAAGTGATTTAAATAAATAAACATTCACACTTGTTCAAATAGGCAAGGGTTCTTTCTCCCACCCTGGATATCATTCCACAGAGGATGACTCCAGGCAACAACAGCCAGGCAGCCTCTACGTAGAGACCTTCACTGATGGCCTTTGCAGCTCCATGGCTATTCAGTGCTATTCAAGCTGGTGGCCAATGGCAACATTCACACTTGCTTCAAACAGGCAAGGATTCTTTCTCCCACCCTGGATGTCATTGCACAAAGGGTGCCTCCAGGCAACAACAGCCAGGGTCTCTACGCAGATACCCGCACTGATGGACTTTGCAGCTTCATGGCTACTCAGTGCTATTCAAGCTGGTGGCCAATGGCAACATTCACACTTGCTTCAAACAAGCAAGGGTTCTTTCTCCCACCCTGGACATCATTCCACAAAGGGTGCCTCCAGGCAACAACAGCCAGGCAGTCTCTACGCAGATACCCTCACTGATGGACTTTGCAGCTTCATGGCTACTCAATGCTATTCAAGCTGGTGGCAAATGACAATATTCACACTTGCTTCAAATAGGCAAGGGCTCTTTCTCCCACCCTGGATATCATTCCACAGAGGATGACTCCAGGCAACAACATCCAGACGGCCTCTACGCAGATACCCGCACTGATGGACTTTGCAACTTCATGGCTACTCAATAGTATCCACACTTGCTTCAAACAGGCACGGGTTTTTTTCTCCCACCCTGGACACTTCCACAGATATATATTATATACTAGCCGTCCCCTGCCACACGTTGCTGTGGCCCAGTCTGTTGATCTGGAAAATAAAGTAATGGTTTCTAATACATGTAATTTCTTTATGCTTGTGGGTAAACAGTATTTCTTGTTGTCTCTTTGTCAGTGTTAATGTGGAGATTTTCTGGTTTTCCTATTCTGGAATATGCAATATATCATTGTCCTTCTTTAGGGGTACCTTTCAAATATATGATATTATATCTGTGTGTATGAATCATATATATCTATCTATATCTATGGCTAGATGGCTCTTTGTCAGGAGGGCTTTGATTAGATTTTCTTACCCTGGTGAAGAGAGTTGGACTGGATGGCCTTAAGTATTTTCTGTTGGTGATGTGGTTCAGTGTGGGAAATTTGCCCCAATTCTGTCGTTTGTGGGGTTCAGAATGCTCTTTGATTGTAGGTGAACTATAAATCCCAGTAACTACAACTCCCAAATCAAGGTCTATTTCCTCCAAACTCCATCTGTGTTCATATTTGGGCATATGGAATATTTGTGCCAAGTTTGGTCCAGATCCATCATTGTTTGAGTCCACAGTGCTCTCTGGATGTAGGTGAACTAGAAGGCTAGAAGGCAGGATCATCAAGTTTGCAGACAACACCAAATTGGGAGGGAGAGCCAATACTCCAGAGGACAGGAGCAGGATTCAAACGATCTTGACAGATTAGAGAGATGATGAGCCAAAACTAACAAAATGAAGTTCAACAGGGACAAATGCAAGATACTCCACTTTGGCAGGAAAAACGAAATGCAAAGATACAAAATGGGGGACGCCTGGCTCGAGAGCAGTACATGTGTGAAAAAGATCTTGGAGTCCTCGTGGACAACAAGTTAAACATGAGCCAACAATGAGATGTGGTGGCAAAAAAAGCCAATGGGATTTTGGCCTGCATCAAGAGGAGCCTAGTGTCTAGATCTAGGGAAGTGATGCTCCCCATGCTCTATTCTGCTTGGTTAGACCACACCTGGAATATTGTGTCCAATTCTGGGCACCACAATTCAAGAGAGATATTGACAAGCTGGAATGTGTCCAGAGGGCGACTAAAATGATCAAGGGTCTGGAGAACAAGCCCTATGAGGAGCGGCTTAAGGAGCTGGGCATGTTTAGCCTGAAGAAGAGAAGGCTGAGAGGGGATATGATAGCCATGTATAAATATGTGAGAGGAAGCCACAGGGAGGAAGGAGCAAGCTTGTTTTCTGCTTCCCTGGAGACTAGGACGCGGAACAATGGCTTCAAACTACAAGAGAGGAGATTCCATCTGAACATGAGGAAGAACTTCCTGACTGTGAGAGCCGTTCAGCAGTGGAACTCTCTGCCCCGGAGTGTGGTGGAGGCTCCTTCTTTGGAAGCTTTTAAACAGAGGCTGGATGGCCATCTGTCCGGGGTGATTTGAATGCAATATTCCTGCTTCTTGGCAGGGGGTTGGACTGGATGGCCCATGAGGTCTCTTCCAACTCTTTGATTCTATGATTCTATGACTCAGGATCTTCCTTTGGTGCCAAAAGAACCGGCTTGAAGGCGCTTGGGTCTCCTCAATAATTGTCCAGGACGATCTGGACATAAAGAATGAGTCCCAGGGGTAAAAAACCTCAGAACTGATGCTAAGAGGTAACTTAAATCACAGTCCTTTAGAGTCAAGTCTCTTACGTCCATGTGGCAGGAACTCTGATGGCAGAATGAAAAGAAAAAGGAAGTTCTCCCCTCTTGCAGGAAGAGGTGGAGCCAAACAGTACTGATTGACAGCTACAAGCAACCAATCCATACAACTATACATAAGCAGGGTAAAAAGGGGCAGGATTAAGCATGATACAACAGTTTAAATCTTACAACTAACAGTTCTATACATAGGTGGCGCCACTCGCGCCGTCACACTCACATATTTTGGTGGCAGCAAGTCCTACGTGTCACTTTTGGTTCAATTCCATCGTTAGTGGAGTTCAGAATGCCCTTTGATTGTAGGTGAACTGTAAATCCCAGCAACTACAACTCCCAAATATCAAGGTCTCTTTCCCGCAAACTCCACCAGTGTTCACATTTGGGCATATTGAGTATTGGTGCCAAGTTTAGTCCAGATCTATCATTGTTTGAGCCCACAGTGCTCTCTGGATGTAAGTGAACTACAACTCCCAAATGCAAGGTCAATGCCCATCAAACCCTTCCAGTATGTTCTGTTGGTCCTGGGAGTTCTGTGTGCCAAGTTTGGTTCAATTCCATCGTTGGTGGAGTTCAGAATGCTCTTTGATTGTAGGTGAACTATAAATCCCAGCAACTACAACTCCCAAATGACAAAATCATGATTTTTTGAGTGATGGTCACTCCTTGTGTTGTGAGACGTTTTGTTGCCAAATTTGGTGTGATTTCATTCATTGGTTCTTTTGTTTTTAAGGTACTCATTATGCACAGAGCATTTTTATAGATAGATAGATAGATAGATAGATAGATAGATAGATAGATATTCCATGTATTGTCGAAGGTTTTCATGGCTGGAATCACTAGGTTCTTGTGGGTTTTTTCGGGCTATAGAGCCATGTTCTAGAGGCATTTCTCCTGACGTTTCGCCTGCATCTATGGCAAGCATCCTCAGAGGTGTGAGGTCTGTTGGAAGTAGGAAAATGGGTTTATATATCTGTGGAATGGCTGGGGTGGGGCAAGGAGCTCTTCCCTGCTTGCAGTTAGGTGTGAATGTTTCAGCTGATCACCTTCATTAGCATTTGAAGGCCTGCCTGAGCCTGGGAAAATCTCTTGCTGGGAGGTGTTAATCTGTGCCTGGTTGTTTCCTCTCTGTTGTTTTGCTGTTGTAAGCATGTGGACAAGCATGTGGACAATTTCAACAGAAAGGAAGAGACCATGAAAATGAACAAAATCTGGCTACCAGTATTAAAAAACTCTAAAATTACAACAGCAAAACAGCAGAGAGGAAACAACCAGGCACATCTTAACACCTCTCAACAGGGGATTTTCCCAGGCTCAGGCAGGCCTTCAAATGCTAATCAAGGTGATCAGCTGAAACATTCACACCTAGTTCCAGCAGACAAGAGTCCTTTGTCCCACCCTGGTCATTCCACAGATATATAAACCCATTTTTCCCAGTTCCAACAGACCTCACTACCTCTGAGGATGCTTGCCATAGATGTAGGCGAAACGTCAGGAGAGAATGCCTCTAGAACATGGCCATATAGCCCGAAAAAACCCACAAGAAACTAGATAGATACTGTCTCATTCTCAGAGACCTCTGAGGATGTACAAGAAGGGGTGGTTCTCTCACCTCATGGCCAGGCTCAGCTAGGCCCCGGCCTGTGCTGGCACGAGAGGGCGGCGCTTCTGCGGCCTAGCTCCTCCTCCTCCGGCCTCGACGCCCCATCTCCTCAGAGGAACCAGCCATCCCTCTCTCTCTCTCTCTCTCTCTCCCTGATGGCGGAGGTGGGGAGCCTCAACGGCGAGGCCGGCGGCTGGTACTTGTCTGCCCAGGAGCTGGAGGACGGGGCCGCGCTGCTCTCGCCGCTGCCGGGCCCGCCGAGGGTGCGTCTGAGGGGCCGCCGGGGAAAGGGATGGAGAGGAAGAGCCTCCTCGCATTGGCTCCCACACTTCCGGTGTTGCGGACTCCAACTCCCAGAAGCCTCCGCCGGCTTGTTCAATGGCTGGGAATTCTGGGAGTTGTAGGCCCAAGAGTGTGTGAGGATGCCGGCTTGGTCCTTCAACACCCAGAATTCCTAGCCATTGAAAGAGCTGGCGAGGGCTTCTGGGAGTTGAAGTCCAAACAAAGCCTGAAGGGCAGAATCAGTGCAGTTGGACTCAAATCTGAATAAAATCCCACACTATCTGCTTTGAACTGGGAAATATGGCAGTGTGGACTCAGATAATCCAGTTCAGAGCAGATATTGTGATATTCTGGGTTATATAGCTGTGTGGAAGGGCCTTTAACCCTCTTCCACATAGCTAACTAAAATCCCACATTATCAACTGGGATATAGGGCAGTGTGGACTCAGATAATCCAGTTCAGAGCAGGTATTGTGGGATTTTCCACCTTGATAGTCTGGGTTATATAGCCTTTAAGCCTCTTCCACACAGCAGACTAAAATCCCACATTATCAACTGGGATATAGGGCAGTGTGGACTCAGATAATCCAGTTCAGAGCAGATAGTGTGGGATTTTCTACCTTGATATTCTGGGTTATATAGCTGTATGGAAGGGCCTTTAATCCTCTTCCACACAGCAGACTAAAATCCCACAATATCTGCTTTGAACTGGGTTATCTGAGGGCCCTTCCACACAGCCCTATATCCCAGAATATCAAGGCAGGAAATCCCACATTATCTGCTTTGAACTGGGTTATCTGAGTCCACACTGCCATATATTCCAGTTCAAAGCAGAAAATGTTAGATTTTATTTACCTGTGTGGAAGAAGGGGCCTCAGTAGTCTACACTGCCAAATAATCAAGTTCAAAGCAGGTAATCTGAATGTTATATAGCAGTGTAGAAGGGACCCTAGTCGTAGGGCATATCTGCACTGTAGAATTAATGCAGTTTGACCGCTTTTAAACAGAGGCTGGATGGCCATCTGTCAGGGGTGCTTTGAATGCAATTTTTCCTGCTTCTCGGCAGGGGATTGGACTGGATGACCCATGAGGTCACTTCCAACTCTATGATATTATGGTTCTAACACTAGAGCTAAAGCTCCTTCCACACAGCTGTATAAAATCCATGGCAAAAGTATGATAGCTGGGACCCAGTGCTGGTAGAGCTACGCTGGTTGCGTAACGCAGCTCTGAATTAGAGAAGGGAACATGTGCGGCAGACACAGCAGCACGTGTGCGAGAGTCCGCACGCAGTGGGAGACACCGCTATGATATAGTCGACAAGGTCGTTCGGTAGAAAGGCACACAGCCAAGCATACTGATGTAGGCTATCTATAGATCATATGTAAACACATTCAAAAACGTTGTTGCATTGGAAGGAAGAATAGAAAGAAGGGGAGAAATACGAGCAGTGGTGAAAAATGAATGAAATCCAGTCACTCTTGCAAAGGTTCCCGGTGGTGCAGTGGGTTAAACCCCTGTGCTGGCAGGACTGAAGACCGACAGGTTGCAGGTTTGAATCCGGGGAGAGGCGGATGAGCTCCCTCTATCAGCTCCAGCTCCTCATGCGGGGACATGAGAGAAGCCTCCCACAAGGATGATAAAAACATCAAATCATCCGGGTCCCCTGGGCAACGTCCTTGCAGACGGCCAATTCTCTCACACCAGAAGCGACTTGCAGTTTCTCAGGTCGCTCCTGACACAACAAAAAAAAAACAACAAACAAACAAAACTCTTGCATTACTTCAGTGGTATCCTGCTGCAGCTGCGTTTCTCACTCAGTGTGCTGTCTCACACACGTGTTCCCTTCTCTAATTCAGAGCCGCATTACGCAACCAGCATAGTGCTACCAGCAGTGGGTCCAGCTATCATACTTTTGCCAAATCCATATTGAACTGGATTATATGGCAGTGTGGACTCAGATAATCCAGTTCAAAGCAGATATTGTGGATTATCTGCCTTGATATTTTGGGTTATATGGCTGTGTGGAAGTGCCCTGAGAAAAGCTGAATACTGCTATTAAAATCCAGGATTCCATAGCAGTTAAAGTGGTGCCAAACTGCATTATCTGGACAATGTAATGCTCCCATAGAAACATACATAGTGTGTTTGTTTGATATGGACATCCATCCACATATTATGTATGAATGGATATTTATATGTATGTATATTTATATAAAATATGGAGAAGACAATGATGCTGGGGAAAATGGAAGGAAAAAGGCAGAGGGGCCGACCAAGAGTAAGATGGATGGATGGTATCCTTGGAGTGACTGGCTTGGCTTTGAAGGAGCTGGGGGTGGCCACGGCTGACAGGGAGCTCTGGCGTGGGCTGGTCCATGAGGTCACGAATGAATAAACAACATAAAGTATGGCTGCCTCGTGAACATGGTAGGATTTTTCTTAGGCCAGGGACACTCAGAAGTAGTTTTGCCAGTTCCTTCCTCTGAAAGAGAGCCTAGAGCATTTGGAGATTCATTGGCAGGCTCCCATCCAAGTACTCAATGGGAAGCCATGAAGTCTTTATGAAGTTCCAGTTATATGAGGGTCTTAACATAGAATCATAGAATCAAAGAGTTGGAAGAGACCTCATGGGCCATCCAGTCCAACCCCCTGCCAAGAAGCAGGAATATTGCATTCAAATCACCCCTGACAGATGGTCATCCAGCCTCTGTTTAAAAGCTTCCAAAGAAGGAGCCTCCACCACACTCCGGGGCAGAGAGTTCCACTGCTGAACGGCTCTCACAGTCAGGAAGTTCTTCCTCATGTTCAGATGGAATCTCCTTAATATTACAGTATACAACACAATTTTTGTTCCTAGGTTATAAATGTAATTTTCTAATTGGTTCTATCATAAAAATATAGAAAAAGTTTATTGAATTGCAAAAACTTGGTTTTTGCAGGACGTGCTGCAGCACATTTTGCTCTAGTTTTTCAATAAATATCTCAGAAAGTCTCAACCAATTCAACACAGTTTGTGACAGCCACTGAAACTTTCAAAGTGAGTACCACATGATTAAATAGGAAATAATACTTTTAAACCAGGAACAGAAACTTTTTAAAACTTCAATGTGTAATAGTGGGTTTGAAAGCAGCCTACGTGTTAAATGACTTCTTGGTTTGGTCGTGTTTTGACCCAAATGAAAAGCTTGCAATGTAACCACCTCTTTTGGTTCCGCCATTTACAGAGATACTCACCTGGCGCTTCTTTTGGCTTCTCAGTATTTAACTTAATGAACGCCATCATGGGCAGCGGGATCCTTGGATTGGCATATGCTATGGCCAAGACAGGAATCATCGGGTTTAGGTATGTTTTTTGGTCTCAGTTACACTGTTTATTACCCTGAGAAACTTTGTGCTTAATATAGTTTGTCCACAAAAATGTATACACTGTTAACATTTTAAATTACATTTCCCCCAAAAAAGATCGTAATAGTAGAAAAGTATTATGAAATTACAATGGGAACTTAATTACACTAATACTTGTGTCAGGAATGGGGATTTTTCTTAATGTATAATTCGAAATACCGGTATATTTTCAAAACAGGATTGGGGAATAATGAGAAACATTAGCACATTGGGGAGAGTTTTGTGATCATTTTTTTACTTTAAAAAAAAGCTCTCTATTAAAGTAGTGTTCCCTTACTTATTGTGGGTGTTATGTTCCAGACCACCCGCAATAAGCGAAATTTTGCAATGTAGGGACGAGGAAGAGGAAAGGAGGGGGAGCCAGGCTCTGGGCCTTAGCCTGGGGCTTGTCTCTGGGCTGGGTCTCAGCACGGCCCTCTTCGGTGAAGGCGGTCTCCTCCTCCCCACCACCTCCACTACTCCCTGCTCCTTCCTCGGAGAAGGCTCCACCTCCTCTTCCTCCTCGGAGGCACCTTGGGCGCCGTTGACACCACTTCCAGGGTGGGCTGAGACCTGGTCTTCTGCACTCCACAGTGGTGTCAATGGCACCCAACTAAAACAAGAAATAGTTTTCTAAGATCTACAGAGACACTCGCTGGAACACCTCAGCAAGCGAGAGTCCAAAAGTGGCAGGCTCAAACCAGAACCTCAATCAATGGCTGATACCAAATGAGAGACTCCCCCTGGGCACACAGAAAACTGGGCAACTTGGAAGGTGCTGAACAGACTGTGCTCTGGCACCACAAGATGCAGAGCCAACCTTAAGAAATGGGGCTACAAAGTAGAATCCACGACATGCGAATGTGGAGAAGAGCAAACCACAGACCACCTACTGCAATGCAACCTGAGCCCTACCACATGCACAATGGAAGACCTGTATTGTCGAAGACTTTCATGGCCGGAATCACTGGGCTGTTGTCGGTTTTTTCGGGCTATATGGCCATGTTCTAGAGGCATCCTCTCCTGACGTTTTCGCCTGCATCTATGGCAAGCAGCCTCAGGGTAGTGCATAGATGCGCGAAACCGAGAATCCTCTGAACATGGCCAACCTGAGCCCTGCCACCACACAATGGAGGACCTTCTTGCAGCAACACCAGAGGCACTCCAAGTGGCCAGCTACTGGTCAAAGGACATTTAATAGAATACCAAGTCTGCAAATTTTGTGTTTTGTTTGTTTGTTTGTCTGTCTGTTTTTAAATGCAATACAACTGTTTTGGTTCGCTCCTGACATGATAAATAAATAAACGGGCCTCTGAGAAAGAGGAGGAGAAGGGAGGAGCCTTGCCGCGGCCCGCTTTGGCGGCGGCCTCCTCCTTGCCATCTCCGCTGCTCCGCGCTCCCTCCTCAGATGCCCCCAGGCAGGAACAAGCCAGACCTATAAGCTGTCAGGCCATCAAATGCTAATCAAGGTGGCCAATTGCAACATTCACACCTAGCTCCAACAGGCAAGAGTTATTTCTCCCACCCTGGACTTTAAACAGATATATATAACCCAATTTTCATAGTTTCCAACAGACCTCACAACCTCCGAGGATGCCTGACTTAGATGCAGGTGAAATGTCAGGAAAGAATGTTTCTAGAACATGGCCATACGGCCTGAAAAACCTACAACAATGCAGTGACCGGTTTTGATTAGTGGCAGCGATACCCAGCAGACGCTTCGAGGTCCGGTCGTCTGTGTTAAACTCTGCCTGCAAAATGCTCCAAATTCAATCCTCCTTCTCTTGGATTCTGGTTACTAAAACTTCAAAGGAAAAGATCTGTTGAAATGGTAAAATACGTTGTTTAGTTATACCCATGCATTACTGTTAGTCTGCGTTGAGGAAATTTATGTTTTGATGTTTTCATGACTCATTCTATTGCATTAGTGATTCATACTGATAATGTTTAGTTTTAACAGTTGGAAACAGATCCTGGGATTACAAGTAAATCAGCCAGTTTGCTTTTGCTTTGTTCACAGGAAGAAAGAAGATCAAATAGCTGGCTGGCGTTTACCAGAGCTTACATTTTGACCATTGTCAAAGGCCATTATTTTTCTGATGTTCTGCATGTGTATCATGACGGGATCTAATTTTATCATATGGGAAATGCCGTAGAAAAGTAGAACATGGGAAACACTGAATAATCTTCCATGGTGTGAATCATATTTTGCCAGTATAGACTTTCAAATGAGGAAATATGTCTTGTGATTTGTTTGTTGGAAAACACAACTTTCAGTTCTCCATTTCTCCGGAGAATTTCATACTAGAATGTGGCTCTGACCCTTTGTCTTTTCCTTCCCAGTGTGTTGCTGCTGCTTGTCGCCATTCTTGCATCTTACTCCATATTCCTGTTGCTTACTATGTGCATTCACACTGGTAAGTGAAAGCAGCTTAAACTGCTAAAGTATAGATTTCCAAACATTTCCTGTTGGTGACACCCTTTTGGACATGCGTCATTTTACGACACGGTAATTCAGTTTTACTAGCAAACTGGAGTTTCAACCAACTCCTTATATAACAATTGCAAACACATTCATAAATTGTAATAGCTAAATATATGGAGGCACAACATATCTCATGAAAGCCTTTCAATTATATTTTGAAAAAATGTATGATTTATAACAGGGGTCCTCAAACTTTTTAAACAGAGGGCAAGGTCACAATCCCTCAAACTGTTGGAGTGCCAGATTATAATTTGAAAAAAACATGAAAGAATTTCAATGCACACTGCACATATCTTTTTTATAGTGCAAAACACCTAAAACAATACAATAATTAAAATGAAGAACAATTTTAACAAATATAAACTTATTAGTATTGCAGTGGGAAGTGTGGGCCTGCTTTTGGCTCATGAGATAGGATTGTTGTTGTTGTTGTTGTTATAGAATCATAGAATCAAAGAGTTGGAAGAGACCTCATGGGCCATCCAGTCCAACCCCCTGCCAAGAAGCAGGAAAATTGCATTCAAATCACCCCTGACAGATGGCCATCCAGCCTCTGTTTAAAAGCTTCCAAAGAAGGAGCCTCCACCACACTCCGGGGCAGAGAGTTCCACTGCTGAACGGCTCTCACAGTCAGGAAGTTCTTCCTCATGTTCAGATGGAATCTCCTTTCTTGTAGTTTGAAGCCATTGTTTCGTGTCCTAGGGAAGCAGAAAACAAGCTTGCTCCCTCCTCCCTGTGGCTTCCTCTCACATATTTATACATGGCTATCATAACTCCTCTCAGCCTTCTCTTCTTCAGGCTAAACATGCCCAGCTCCTTAAGCCGCTCCTCATAGGGCTTGTTCTCCAGACCCTTTATCATTTTAATCAAGTCATTTCAGACTTGAGAGAGGGCCGGGTAAATGACCTTGGAGGGCCATATCCAGCCCCCGGGCCTTAGTTTGAGGACCCCCTGATTTATAATATAGATTTCCAAGTTCAATCCAGTTCAGTGCAGATAATTTGGATTTTATATGGCAGTGTAGAAATGCCTAAGAGGGCATTTGGAAATAATCCATGTCATTGTTTAAGACTACACTTTGTAGGGAAAAATCAGTAGAGCTAGACTATTCTTTTATTAGCTCTGGAATATTTTCATGCACCAGTCATATTTTGACCAGTTCTGTAATGTGTTCAAGCAGTTATATTTTAAGATAATGTTTAAGTTGTGTGGAAATAACAGTTACCACCTATAGGAATTTGTTAGTTCCCCCAACATATCTTTATGGTAGCTTCTAAAAGGAATGTACTGAAGACTTAGAAAATTCCTACAGAAGACATATTTTGTTGGATATGGGTAGGTAAAACCATGAAAACTATTCCCATGGGCAGAGGGGGTCATATTGTATTACACTTAATAATACTATTACCAAAATGCTTTCTGTTCCTGTCGGGATTGTGGCGCAGCTGGCTGAGTGTCAGCTGCATTAAGATCACTCTGACCAAAAGGTCATGAGTTTGAAGCCAGCCCGGGTTGGAGTGGGCTTCCAACCAATTGTGTAGCCTGCTGTCAACCTTCGCATCCTGAAAGACAGTTGCATCTGTCAAGTAGGAAAATTAGGTACCACCTTGTGTGGGGAGGCTAAATTAACTAATTTATGAAGCCATAAAAAAGACTCCAGCAAAGCTCTCCAGCAAAAGCATGCGGGGAATGCGGAAGTACTTCATCAGTGTCGCAGATGGATGATGAAAGCGACAGCTCCCCTGGCGGCCAGAAAAAGTTAAATAGCCTCTGTGTATGTCTGTATACGTTGTATGTCAAAAATTGGCATTGAATGTTTGCCATATATGTGTACAGTGTAATCCGTCCTGAGTCCCCTGCGGGGAGAGAAGGGCGGAATATAAATACTGCAAATAAATAAACAAACAAATAAATAAGTACATCTCCTAGTATTTCTAGGATTGGGAAGAATTGAAATTCAGCAGCACCTGGGTGGCTGTGCCATTCCCACATGATGTGAATGAGAATTTCTTCTTCACTTTTTCTTTGTTTTGCGTGATAGATAGGAGAGAAGGAGGAACTCTTGAGTCAGCATTGTCTTCGCTTCATAGCTATCTTATGATTGCAACACATGCATACACTTCGGTCTTATGATTATGGTATTTCTAGTATAACTTGACCTGCTTCTATCCTAGTGATGTGTTTATTTGTGAACATTGAGATGCTACATTGAGGAGACAGTGTGAAAATTGGTGCAGTTAGGAAACAGTTGCACGACACTCCCTTGTTTGTGAATTGCAGTGTTGCACAACTGAATGCACCTTGCAGATGTGCATCCACAGTACAAATGGGCACATATGCACCATAAGCAACCACAACAACTATATTGGGTTGTTAGGTATATTCTGTCCAAATTTGGTGTCAATTCGTCCAGTGGTTTTTGAGTTATGTTAATCCCACAAACGAACATTACATTTTTATTTATATAGATGGAAGGCAGTCTCAGCAAGGGTTTGTTTGGTGCACCTTCCTCTTGGCAAGTTTCTCCCCTTTGCCCTCTGTTTGTGCCTCTTCACAATCCACAGCACTGATATGTTTCCCATGCAGGATCTTGGTCCATGTTGCAGTGCATTCTTTTCCCAGTCTTGTTTAGTTGGTGATACAACATATATACAAAATTATTGGTTAAAGTTATATTCTAATTTTACCAGTAAATGTTGGAAATTATATGGATCTTTACTTGAAAAAACCAGAAGTTTGGCAAAAAAACCTGATAGCCAACATAAATGCAATGACTGCATATTTTACCTATGACTCTTAAATACATCCTGCTTGAGCATCAAAAGAAATGATACAAGTTGCAGCAGGAAATTCTTTCACAGCAGCCAAAAATAATTATAGCTGCCAAGTAAAAATTAGCCAGTCTTCCTTCTTTAGGAAGTGTGAAGACCAGAGTGAAAAGAGGGGGCCAGGAAGATAGTTCCACCTTGTCTCCTGCATTGTGCTAATAATATAATATAATATATATACATATTATATTGATACTATCATAATGTTATCATAATGTAATACAATGTAATATAATATGATTTTATAATTATATATTTTATATTACATGCAATATTACGAATAATATTACCGTATAATGGTATAGTACAATATAGTAATATATAATACTAATATTGTGCTATGGTAATAATATAATATATTGTATTTACATATTACTTGTAAGCCGCTCTGAGTCTCCTTTGGGTTGAGAAGGGTGGCATATAAATGTCATAAATGAATAAATAAATAACATATATTGTCTCTATGGTTAAACTTACAAAAGTTCATTTATATTTTTGCCTATCTTTTCAATGAAGACAGACAAGTAAAAATAAAAAKAAATGAGTCTCATAATGTTGCACCCCGGTCCTGAAGCCACCGATGACCACAGCTCCACACAAGAGTCCAGAGTATAAGCCAGAGGTCCTCAAACTTTTTAAACAGAGGCCCGGGTCACAGTCCCTCAAACTGTTGGAGGGCTGGATTATAATTTGAAAAAAACATGAATTAATTCCTATGCACACTGCACATCTCTTATTTATAGTGCAAAAGATACTTTAAACAATACAATAATTAAAATGAAGAACAATTTTAACAAATATAAACTTATTAGCATTTCAATGAGAAGTGTGGGCCTACTTTTGGCTGATGAGATAGGATTGTTGTTGTTGTTGTTGTTGTTGTTGTTGTTGTTGTGTGCTTTCAAGTTATTTCAGACTTAGGTTGACCTTGAGCGAGGGCCGGGAAAATGACCTTGGAAGGCTGCATCCGGCCCCCGGGCCTTAGTTTGAGGATCCCTGGTTTAAGCAGACAGTTTATTGTTAAAAAAAAAACACATAAAAGGTACATGGAAGAAAAGGGTATAAAGAAATAAAGTGTATAACCAAGAGTCAGCAATAGATGATAACCTAACAGGAAATCAATAGTCTCTTATAAGTCCAAAGGTAACACAGTCCAAAGATAGTCCCAAAACCCAAAGGCAGCTTAAATCCACAAGCAGAAGAAAGCCTTAGCAAAACTGAAACAGAAATACAAAACAAGAACATGGAAAACTTCCAGAATACTTAAATCCAAGACCAAGGCTTGAAACATGAACCAGAGAACTCAGGCCTAGCTTCTAACTTGAATGTTGTGTTGCCTGAACTGAAGTCAGAGTGTTAACAGAAATGAAATCATTGCGTCTGCCACAGAATTTCTGTTTCCCATGAAGCTGTGTTGATCTACGAAGCTGGCTATCTGCCCTAATCTGCAAACGTGCTTCCTTGCTTAGGTCTGTATCACCAGGTGCTTTCCCTTGCGAGTTTCTTGTCAATTTGTCCTCGCTCTGACCCCTTATCTAGGGAAAATGATCCCAACTCCTATGACTGGCTCAGAGGCAATTACATTCTCAGGGCATGCATCACTATCTGAAGCGGTTTCATTTTCCTGGCCTATATCATTCCCTTGACCTGTATCACTATGAATCCCTGGAAGGCCCACAATCCCTTCTAACTCTTAAGTCAGTGAACCCATCAGCACCTGGCTGTTGTGACTGCTGCTGGGCTACAAAACACATAAAATAGTAGATAGAAACTGAATATCAACAAATATCAACTCACTCCCCGGGGAGATTAGATCGGCGACCTCCCTTCTGGCATTCAGGAAAAAACTGAAGACCTGGGTTTGGGATCAAGACTTTGGACACACTGGCAACTAAATTAAGGATCTGACGATAGACGAGGACAAATGGAATGGAATGGATATATGGACTCTGAACCCGAGCATGAGATTGTTTTAATATTTTATTATGCACTGATGTTTTAATTTTAACTGTTGTATTGCTTTTTTGTACTTTTTATTGCTGTTAATTGTTTTAGGCATCTAATTGTGCCTCCTCTGTAAGCCGCCCTGAGTCCCCCCTGGGGTGAGAAGGGCGGGGTATAAATAAATGAAATAAATAAATAAATAAATATAGAGCATTCAGTGCAATTAGATGTTTCATATAATTGCATATTGGGGATCATGGGTGTGCCAGGCATATATTGAAAATTATAGAAAAAAATTGTTTTTAAAGAGAATTTTGGCAAAATGTGTTATCTGCTTTCCACATTTGTCTTTTTTATCACTTTTGTGACTTTTTTTTTTTGTGATCCTGAGGTGCACAATAAAGTGGTATTTTGGTATTGAGTCTTATCTGTTTGCATGGAAAATTCATCCTTTTAGTTAGAAAAAAAGTTTCTTTGAACCAGTACATTTTGTATACCTTTGAACTTATTGAACATATCTATGAAATGCATGCTTTTTGTCCTCATTGAAAACAGTGGGACATAAAATATCTGGATTCTGACATAAAATCATATATTTAATATACAACTAATCATTAATTTATCTATGATATAGTATTAATATTTTTCTTAATCCATTGAATCAGCATTTTTAGGGTTAAAGGGATACTTTGATAGTCCTTTCCATGCTTGGCAGGGGGTTGGACTAGATGGCCCACGTGGTCTCTTCCAGTTCTATAATTCTACTCTGATTATCCCTATCAACATTTCTCATGTCTGCAATTGAAAATTATTTCGGTTTTTGAATTAAGAGGCACAGACATTAGATTTATACAGTAATGATTTAGATTGAGAAATGTTTGTATCTGTGTATATAAAAGTCAATCTACGAGGGTTGAATGAAAAGTAATGCCTCCACTTTCGTAACTCCTCAACAGATGGCAGTACTGGTATGCGGCAGGTACTGACTTGTTCAGTAGACTCTCATCCACAGTTCCATTTTGGCTGGAAGCTTTAGCATTTAATAGTTGTGTTGTTAAAGTGCTAAGTATGGGACCCTGCACAGATGGTCGATCAATGCGACTTAAGCAACGTGCAGTCATTGAATTCTTTACAGCAGAAGATGTCACCCCAAAGGAGATTCATCTGAGAATTCAAGATGTTTATGGTGATTTTGTTGATGTGAGTACTGTGTGTCGTTGGGCGAGTAAGTTTAAAGAAGTTGAGGTGGGAACATCTGACTTGTGTGAGTTGGGTGTCCTGTGACAGCAACCACCGAGTTTCACAAGCAGAAGCTTGACAAATTGATTCAGGATGATCATCGTATCACTCAGAGAGAAATTTCAAGCATAATTGGCATTTCACAAGAACTTGTGGGTCACATTATTGCTTTGCTTGGCTATTGGAAGATCTGTGCACGATGGGTTGTGGAAACAGAGTGTCGACTTCTTCCGTGACGGCTTCAGAAAACTTGTTCATTGTTGGCAGAAATGTATCCAATTGTCTGGTAATTATGAGGAAAAGTGAATCATGGTAGTTAAAGAGCACATTCTAAGGATTATTTCTGCATTTGATTTATTAAAATATTCCCATCCAAATCCAAGTAACAAAGGTAAAGGCATCCCATTTCATTCAACCCTCGTATAATAAAATGCATTGCTTATGGAAACAGATATATAATTGAATTATTTCCCTCTTTTGACAGCTGTCACTTCTTATGAAGATCTGGGTCTCTTTGCATTTGGCTCACCTGGGAAGGTAAACGAAATTCATTTATCTTATGAAATAATATTGTTTCCTATCATTCTGTAATCAGGATGAGAGGGCTGAAATGGTGAAGAAACAGGAGACATTAAAACATCTATTAAAATAATTGTTGTCTTTTAATTACTTTCTTTCAATCTTCTGAGTCCTTTATTCCACTTTGTGTTGAATATGTGATTTAGATCTGTTTTGAAGTTAATCAGCTGCTTTTCTTAACACAGTTTATTGTTTCGCTAGGTTCTGGTGGCCAGTACAATCATTATACAGAATATTGGAGGTAAGAAATGTTAATACTGACTCCTCTTTAGTGCAGTCTTGAAAACATATGCATGTCACTTGTATGGAAAAGGGAATGAGGAGGAGTGATAGTCATTTAGATAATTGATATTGTTATGGTTAATAACATTGTCTCCTTTGAGGTGCTGGATATTATGATGATGTTACTGTTCTTAACCTCCTTAGCAGTACTGTGTCATAGATGGTTATCTCTTTACCTGCTTTTGGAAAATCAGTTAGTTGTGATGTTTTATTTGTTTACAAAATGAGAATGGATTGTTGTCTTTTGCTGCTTCTCACTGTGATTGTAATTTATCTTGGCTCCACCTAGCCTCGTAATTGCATGTGGTGGATCTCTGCCAGATTGAACCCCATACCACCCACTAGACATAACATGCAATCTCGGAAGCTCTGCACTCCAATATGGCTGTCTTGTGCCTCATAGCAATGGACAGAACCAGGAAACTCTGTGGCTCATGACAAAATTATTGTAGTAGCTCTGAGATCCACTGAGATCCTTCAAAGGTCTTGCCCAGTGGTTCTCAACCTGGGGTCCCCAGATGTTTTTGGCCTACAACTCCCAGAAATCCCAGCCAGTTTACCAGCTGTTAGGATTTCTGGGAGTTGAAGGCCAAAAACATCTGGGGATCCCAGGTTGAGAACCACTGGTCTTGCCACTAATGCCAATATTTCACATCTAACTACAGAGGTGTAGCAAAGTGCTTCTCTGATCTTGCCTTTCCACCCACAAGGAACAGAATAGCCACACAGGGAAGGCTTCTGAGGTTGTACTATAAAACATGGGTGTGTTGGCTCAAAATAGGAATTATCTGTATGCTGATTTGTTTTAGTGAGCCTGATAAAACATCTTGACAGTAGCTATAGCCCAAGCATGGGCAACCTTCAGTCCTCCAGGTGTTTTAGATATCAATTCCCACAATTCCTAACAGCGAATAGGAGTTGAAATCCAAAACATCTGGAGGGCCAAAGTTTGTCTGTGTCTTCTATAGCCTATATTGTTTGCTGAGCTGTCATTTGAGTTATGCTAGCAAAACAACTGCAATACAATGTGTCCAGGACCAACAACCAGATGTTATGGCTACATATAGTACCAGACCATGGAAAACATGATCCTTATCAAACAATGTGCTGACTTCAGATAAGGATTATGATCTATGCCTTAGATATTGCTCATTTTGTCGTGGTCTGTGTCTATAGTTATATAAAATACGTATACTTGGAATAAGCTTTATCTGTCTTGATCACTTCTGTGAATATGTTGGACTGAAAACTGTGCTGAGACTTGGTAGATCCTTTTGTGAAAGTTATAGTTTGTTGTCTCCTTGCCTTCCAGTGTTGGGGTTCATTCCAGCTCCACATTTCACTTGGGAAATACAGTATGACCGATATTTTAGTCCTACCCCAAAGGGAGAGGGGCAGAACTTTTGGCAAAATATACACTGGTGTAAGGGAAACTTATACGTGTGTATGCTGCTAACGGAATGCCAGTCTGTGGATGTTATTGTCCTTAGACCATCTCTTGTTGGGGGGTGGTGGTGGTGGTGGAGTCTATCTGTTCTATCCTTTCCCATTGTTGTAGTTCAGCCTTTGATTGTGGCTGCACCTGATCTTTCTGGGGATTCTGGACCTGTTAGTTGGGAATCTGGGTCTGCAAGTCAGCAGGAGAGCCAGCAAAATATTTTAAACCCTGAAAATGAGCGGCCTGTGTCTGAAGGCCACATTCCTGAAAGGCAGTTCACTAGGGAAGCAAAGTTAGGAACAGATCTGAGCTCAGAGGATGAAAATGAAAGTCCAGGGGAACAGACTAATGGGCAGTTAGATAGGAGATTTACGTTCCGTCAACATAGAGCTTCTCAAGATGCCTATTAGCCCAGAAGTTCTTATCAGTTTCCCAGGGGAGAAGGCATGTTTTTCTCTCTATATTAGCTAGCCCAGTAGATGGTTCAGTCAGTCCAGGCAATGTTAGTGTTTGACTATTGTCAATCCAAGGGATTTCTAGTTGCATATTTCCTTGTGTTCAAGTCTCATAACTCCAAGATTTGAGGACTGTTCCTCAATATCCTGTTTTGGATTTATTCTGCTTTTGTATTCCTGGTTTTTGATGCTACTCCTGTACTTTGATTTCTGTGGCTTATTCCCGATATTTGGACTTTGGTTTTTTATACTGTTTTGCTGAATTGCTTTTCATATATATTCTTCAATAAACTGCTTTGCCATTTTACATTGGACTGAAGTGTGTGCTAAGTACATTGGTGGTTTCCAGCATAGGAGTGCAACACCCAAAGTGTTTTGGAGGTGCTTATAATGAAAAAGTTGGTACCTGCAAGAAACAACAACAACAGAGATCTTATGAACAAGCATCTCAGGTTGAGTTATTGCTTCAAAGTAAGGTGGTTTTCATGAAGTGTAACCACCCTTGCAAATCAGCCAGGTGGAGGAGGGCATTTTTTTTTCAAGCAACAGACTCTTTGGAGTCCACTCAGTTGGCAAATAGATCTGCTGCTCCGTGTTGTGTCTGTTTGGCCAGTGCATGGAACATAATGGGGACAACGAGTTCCATTTTAAAATGGGGAGCAATGATTAATGTATCTCCTCCTGCAGTTGGAGGGGAAGGGTGCCAGCTGTTCCCTGTATACATCCCAAGGGAGCACGTTAGCATAAATGCGGCTATAGATGCTTCATGGCTATCATGTGAAGTTACTTGTTCGTTTCCACATGCTTTGTGTGAGGAAGATTCTTAATATAAAGTGGAAGGACTCGGACCAAGATCCCAAAATTGTTGAGTAGTGCAATCCTTCCACGATTGTACACATTCCAAGGTATGCTGCCAGTTGTTGTTTTCTTTATACTTGGAACCGGGGCGCTCACTTTCATAATCCAATTTGGTGCCCTTCTTTGTACAACAAGCTGTGTTTTAAATTTGCAACAAATGCTTGGTGTTCACTCCAAGGCAGGAGTGTGAACATGTTAATCCTAAAGACGACGGATTATTTATCCATACCAGTTTGAGGGGACTTACGGAGCAAGAAATGAACTTTTTAATTTCCTTTCCTATTTGACTGGACCTCTAAATAAACATCATTAAACAAGTCGGGGATAAGTGGTGAAGGATCAGACAGACCTGGGACCCTAGTACAAGAGTGTGCCGGCAAATGGAAATGTGAGTCTCATTTCCTCCCTCCCCTCCTCTCAGCAGTTCATAACCCATGTGTGTCACTTTTAATAAAAATTCTCCTGGGCAGCCCCAGAGGCCTGGACTATTGCACACAGAGTGTTGTAAAACTACTTACTCCATCCCCTGTGATAATCCTGCTTGTCATAATTTGGAGACATAGCTGCCCAAATTCTCATTTTTACTTAATTCAAAAGCCTGCTTTCATGAGAGGAAAAATATTATTTCAAGGGTTGGAACAGTACTGATTATTTGGAAACTGCCAAGTCCTTTTGGAATGTGGTGTCATTGGTTCGCCATTTTCCCATGAAAATATTTTTTCTCTTGGAAAATCTAGATATTGCTCCCTGCCCTCCATTCCCAGTAATATAATTACTGCGTGGTTGTGAATACTAAGAGTGTAACAAGAGTCATGTTAGATTTGCCTGAAAACCTATCTCGCCCAAAGTAAGGTCATCAGGATATGAGGGCAACCACACACTCGTCTCACATTCACTAGCAACAGGCGTGCTGGGTTCATCTGCAGAATTAATGCAGTTCGACACCACTATAACTGCAATGGCCCACCACTATGGAATCCAGGCAGTCCTTTCCGTAGGAAATGGGAGGGCAAGGGATCGTTCACATGGAAGCCTGGCTCTCAATGATTGGGCCACTTTGATGGCTGAAAGCAAGGAGGAGCTGAGGAGCCTTCTAATCAAGGTGAAAGAAAAAAGTGCAAAAGCTGAGTTGCCGTTAAACATAAAAAAACAAGATTATGGCAACTAGACTGACTGATAACTGGCAAATAGAGGGAGAAAACATGAAGGCAGCAACAGACTTTGTATTTCTAGGAGCGAAGATTACTGCAGATACATACTGAAGCTAGGAAATCAGAAGACATTTACTTTTTTGGGCAGAGAGTAATGACCAATCTCCATAAAATAGTTGAGAGTAGAGACATCACACTGACAACGAAGATCCACATAGTTAGAGCAATGGTATTCCCTGTAGTAACCTATGGATGAGAGAGCGAAGGAAGATAGACACTTTGAACTGTGGTATTTGAGGAAAATTCTGAGAATGCCTTGGACTGCGAGAAGTTCAAACCAGTCCATACTCCAGGAAAGAAAGCCTGACTGCTCACTGAAGGAAAGCATATTAAAGGCAAAGATGAAGTACTTTGGCCACATCATGAGAAGACAGGAAAGCTTGGAGAAGATAATGATGCCGGGGGAAATGGAAGGAGAAAGGAAGAGGGGCCGACCAAGGGCAAGATGGATGGATGGTATCCTTGAAGTGACTGGCTTGACTCTGAAGGAGCTGGGGATGGCCACGGCCGACAGGGAGCTCTGGCGTGGGCTAGTCCACGAGGTCACAAAGAGTCGGAAGTGACTGAATGAATGAACAACAAAACCCTTGTTCTCAGTAGGTAAACAGAGTGTAAGGAATTCCCTTACCAACAATGTGCTTCCTGAGGATGAGAATACACTCTACACATTCCCAAGGTAGCCCTGTCCTTGGGAAGTAGTACTGTGAGGGTGATAATTCATTCCCTGTCACCTTCTGGTATCTTTTATCTAGCTGGTATCCCATCTATGTGTATATGCTAGGATGTATAACTTTACTGAGTTGCCTCTGGCTGAGAAAGGCGGTATACAAATGCAGTAAATACACAAATAAATACTCTGGTGTACATTTGTATTTTTATTGTTCTGTCTTCTGCTTTGCTGAGATTGGGAACTGTCTGCTGTCTGATTTTGCTCTCATGATTTTGGAAAACTTGGGCACCTCACTACGCAGCCCTAGCTCCAAATCTATTTTATGAA